GTATGAAATCAGAGGCCTGAGAAAGTGGCCCGGCTCTGCCCTCAGAATTCTTTATCGGTGGGTGAGATTGGAATTACTCTGGTAGGGATTCATTCCTGGCTGCACACAGTGGCTCATGCCTGTAATCCCAGCAATTTGGGAGGCTGAGATGGGCGGATACCTGAGGCGAGGAGTTTCAGACCAGCCTGGGCAACATGGCCAAACCCAGTCTCTACTAAAAATACAAAAAATTAGCTGGGCATGGTGACACCTGTAGTCCCAGCTACTCAGGAGGCTGAGGCACGAGAATTGCTTGAACCCCGGAGGTGGAGGTTGCAGTGAGCCAAGATCGCGCCACTGCACTCCAATGACAGAGCTAGACTTGGTCTAAAAAAAAAGAGAGAGATTCATTCCTTTGACTTAAGACTTTGTTTTCTGTTAAAATGCAAATAGAATCCTGTGAAGTAGACATTAACTCCATTTTATAGGTTGTAAATCTAAGGCTCTAAGGGCTCCAAGTGCACAGCCCATTAGTAGTAAGGCTGGGAGCCTTAATCCAGGTCTTCACACACACCAGGCAAATACCAGACGGCCTAGAGCACTGAGACCCCTATAGACGCATCAGTCACATGCCCTGAACAAATCCGTCTCAAGTCTCCTGCAGACTTTGATGATGGGGTAGAAGACGAGGAGGTGGTCACTGAAGGCTGCAGGCTTTGGTGATGGGGTAGAAGGCGAGGAGGTGGTCACTGGAGGCTGCAGACTTTGATGATGGGGTAGAAGGCGAGGAGGTGGTCACTGGAGGCTGCAGGCTTTGGTGATGGGGTAGAAGGCGAGGAGGTGGTCACTGGAGGATTTGGTATTGGGGACGCCCTTTCCTGTTCTGCTGTGGCCTGCTCCGTAGCCCCAGAGGCAAAGGCACAGTGGGGACCCAGATCCAGGCAGGGGCGGGCAACAAGGTCCATGGCCCCGGGCAGGCTAAAATGGGCTGGCAGGGTCCCGTGGCCCCAGATCCTCCAAGCCCTTCCACCTGTGCAGAGGGTATGGAGGAGCCTGGCCTCTCTCTCTTGCATGGCAGTGGACCCAGGGAGGTCAGGACATGTGGGCAGACAGACCTGGCAGTGTGCTGAGCTAGATGCAGCACACCTCCAGGAAGCCTGGTGCCTTGTCTCCTTCCAAGGGCTTGGTACCTGTGAATACCTGTGGCCCCTCACCAGCAGTCCAGCCTGCACCTCGGTGGGGGCTCTCTTGGTGGGCAGCCTAAGCTCCCCCTCTCTCTCATCATGGCACTCCTGGAATTAAGACTGGTTCGGGGAGAAGCCAGTGGTAGATGGGAGGAAAAGGGGATTTGACCATCTGGGGCCAAAAATGGTCCTCTGGGGTTGGGCTGTTTCACCTTGTGTCCAGGTCAGGTTTAGTACTCAAGCCCCCGTGATCCGTGCCCTTCCTTCCAGTCTGGGCTGGGCAGCCCTGATTCAGACCTGTTGGCCAGAGGCCCTTGTTCATCACACATCATCATGCTGGCAGTTCCTCCTAGTATCTCACCCAGATCCCTCCTATGGCAACAGGAGCTGTCCTTTAGTTCTGCCCAGGGGAGGGCCCCTTGAAGCATACGTGAGGCACATGTCTGTGTGACCTGCCTGTCCCTGGCTGAGTCTGTCCCTGGCTGGATCTGAGTTGTCTGCTCCTGACTCTGACCTCTGGACTGACCCCTGGTTTGATCCCTGTGTGACTGGCCAGGAGGGGTGGCCGTAGCTAATGCTGAGCAATCAGCCTCATTGCCTCACCAATCATTACGTCTGTCGGTTGTACAGATAAGGAGAGGCTCGGAGAGGCCATGTCTCCCTTGAGATCACACAGGCCTTTCACGCCCACTAAGGTGAAGGCCCCTGACTCACAGGACCAGGCCCGGCTGGAAGGCAATCTGCTCTTCCCATCAGCTACTTGCACCCTGTAAGACTGGGCACAGGGGGCCCTCATTCTCTCCCTGCTCCCCAAAACAAATCCATCTACAGATCGATGCAAAACATGCCCACAGACTCTGGGAAGTAAATACATTCATTAACAGGTCACATCCCTGCCACGCTGAGCGGCAGCAGGCCCCCTCGTGAGTGTGGGTGCACGCATGGACTGTGCCAGTCCCTGGATTCTTAGTGATTTGCATACTTCTGTGAATCCGCACTCACTCTGGCGGATGCTATCGGAGATGCTCAAATGGTGCAGGCGCTCCCAGCATGGGTGCACCCAGGCGGGTGGGCGAGACAGAAGAGCTCTGGACCTCTCACATGCTGGTGGCACCTGCTGCTCAGACTGTGAGTCCCGGAGGTCAAACTGCAGCTGAGGTGTCTTTTGTGACTCAGTCTCCTCCTCAGCTCTGGCCTGAGGAAGGGACAGGAGCACTGAGTACTGATCTTTGCTCCCACGGCAAGCTGGACTGTGCCTGATTCAGGAGCAGGGTTGGGACCAATGGGTTCCAGGGAGGTAAGCCTTGCAGGGGTAAGATGTGGCTAACATTCAGTGATCATTTTTACTATGTGCCAGACATTTTTGCAAGCGTTATATAATTATCTCAGTGAATCCTCACAGCCTGGGAGGCAGGTACAGTGGTTATGTCTCACCAAGGCAACCGAGGCCCAGAGAGGTTATGAGACTTGCCCAAGGACACACAGGCAGTACGTGTTGGAGGCTGGATGCAAAGCCAGGGAGTGGACTCCAGCATCTGACCCCAACAGTCACTGAGAGATGGCACAGGCTACATCAAAAAGGAGGCAGCATGGTAGCATGGAGACCACTGCAGGGCAGCGGGTACCCAGCAGAAGAAGTGTCAGAGTCAGAAGGTCATTTGGCTGCCTTCAACCCTGTGAGACATCAAGCCACTTCAGGAAACTGAAAGAAATGCACACAAAGCAAATTCGAGTTAGCACAATTGTGGTCTACTCTGATGGCATTCATTTTTACAAATAAATGTAGCTCACTGTTGTCAGGCACTGCACTCACCGACAGGAGCCAATAGTGCAATGTGCTGGATGTCACCTCACAGTCACTGGGAGTGGTGTGGTCTGGCAGAGGGACCCACACTGACGTGGTGTGTCACATTCTCAGTGGATGTCTGTATGTGATTATGCATGCAGCCTCATTTAGATATCCGCTAGACATCTAAGTAGAAGACTTCCTGTGCACCACCACCGTTGCCCTCCATCCCCCAATGGGAGGTCCCCTGAGAGCCTCAGGTCCCGAGATTCTGCTCAAGCCAGCTGCTGCTGCCCAGGGAGTGTGACTGGAAGCTGCGGAGGGCAGGAGCTAAGGTTGGTCCCACCTATCACCCTGCCTCTGGCCCACCTGGTGCCCCTCAGAGGGCTGAGTCTCACTCTGCCACTCTCACTAGAAGAGGGAGCACTCTGCTATACTCCCTGCTTTACTCCAAATCAGGAGCACAGTATGATTATCATAATAACAGCAACTATTTTTCAGAACTTACTCTGTGCCAGGAACTCTATAGGCAGCTCTCTGTATCCTTGGTTTCTGTGTCCATGGATTCAACCAGACTTGGATTGAAAATATTTTTTAAAAAATTGCATTTGTGGGCCAGGCACAGTGGCTCACACCTGTAAGCCCAGCACTTTGGGAGGCCGAGATGGGAGGATCACTTGAGGCCAGGAGTTGGAGACCAGCCCGAGCAACATAGCGAAAGCCCATCTCCATTAAAAACAATGTTTTAAAAAAAGTTGCATCTGGGCAGGGTGCAGTGGCTCATGCCTGTAAGCCCAGCACTTTGGGAGGCCAAGATGGGAGGATTGCTTGAGGCCAGGAGTTGGAGACCAGCCTGAGCAACATGGTGAAACCCTGTCTCTACTAAAAATACAAAAATCAGCTGGGCCTGGTGGCAGGTGCCTGTAATCCCAGCTACTTAGGAGGCTGAGGCAGGAGAATTTCTTGAACCTGGGAGGCAGAGATTGCAGTGAGCCAAGATTGCACCACTGCACTCCAACCTGGGTGACAGAGTGAGACTCCGTCTCAAAAAAAAAAAAAAAAAAGAAAAAAAAATTGCACCTATACTGAACATATACAGACTTTTTTGGTGATTGTCTCCTAAACAATACAGTATAACCACCATTCACACAGCATTTCTGTTGTATTAGCTATTATAAGTAGTGTAGAGATTTAAAGTACATGGGAGGTTGTGCTTAGGTTATATGCAAATACTATGCCATTTTATATCAAGGACTTGAGCATCCATGGATTTTTTGTCCTGGAATCAATTTCCCATGGAGACTGAGGGAGGACCCTACTACCCACTTTGCAAGCAATGTCTTCTTTAATGTACTGAACCATCGCATTGCTCAGAGGAGAGACTGAGGCTGAGGGCTTTGAATAACTAGACCAAGGAGGCACAGCTTGGGAGTGGGACATGAAGCACACTACAATTAACCCTTTCAGGATAAGGCCCTGTCCCCTGCACCCATCTGCCCAAAGGCTCTCCAGCACCCCCTCCTCTTGGGTGTACCTTGACAAGAGACCTAGATTTTAGCTCACTATGCTATCTGCAGCCCTGGATGGTCCCACTCTAGTGTCTGGTGCTCTGAGATGGAGTCAGCATTAGTGGCAGATGTGGAGATTGGGGGGAACTCTCTTCACTGGGGCAGACAGAGGAGATGTGGACTTTGCCCCCCATGAGCCTGGCACAAACCCAGAGCTGCCAGCAGAGCCTTGAGGCATCATCAGTCCCGGGCTCAGGGGCTCCTCAAGGTGTTTCTCTCACCGTTTTCCACTCCCCTCCTCCTTTCCACGCTGAGGTTGGTAGTGGGGGTGCCTATGCACAGAACAGCCACCACTTCTAACTATCGCCTAAGCCCCGGTCTGCTGTCAGCTTCCACGTAGTCTCAGGGTCACAAAAGTCCAAGAGGCCTCTTGGGAATGTGTCACCTTCCAGCGTGGAGTCACACTGGGGAAGGAGGTGGGGAGGGCAGCCGGCGGGGGCAGTGGTAGGGAGAGAGTTTAAATGTCTGGCTGGCTCTGAGCTTCAGTCAGTTCCCACAGCAGCGCAGGTGAGCTCTCCTGAAGACCTCTTCATCAGCTCCCCTGATTGTAGGGAGGATCCAGGGTGGCAGGAAACTCCTCCAGCCCAGCAAGGAGCTCAGGATGTTCCTGAAGGCCGTGGTCCTGACCCTGGCCCTGGTGGCTGTCACCGGTGAGTAGAAGCTATCTTCGGATGGGGCTCTTAGGCGGCTGCTCTGAGTGGTGCAGGATGGAAGTTGGGCCAAAACAAAAGGACACTTCTGAGTGCCCATCAGCCCCAAGCTGGACATGAGGTCTGCCTGGCTGCCAAGTGGCTCACGGGAGAGCTGGCCCAGTCCCAGTGGTGGGCCCACTGGCATTGGTGCTATATCAGTTTCACATATCCCTGTGGCTTCCAAAAAGCTAAGCCCAGACAGGGAAAATTGCAGATTGGGCACCCCCGCCATCATCCAGTCTGCAGCTCAGAGCTGGAGCAGAGGGGCCACAAAGAGACAGGGTCTCATGAATTCTCTGTTACCACCCAGGAGCCCGGGCTGAGGTTAGTGCTGACCAGGTGGCCACGGTGATGTGGGACTACTTCAGCCAGCTGAGCAGCAATGCCAAGGAGGCCGTGGAACATCTCCAGAAATCTGAACTCACCCAGCAACTCAAGTAAGAGGGAGTACAGTGTGCGGTGGTGACAGGGAGTTCTTAAAGACCATGCAATGTATTGGCAAGGGTTGAGCTTAGAGTCAGGAGCCCTGAGCTTAGGATACCCACTGCCCTGCCACTAACTGGCTGGGCCTCTGAACCTAGGATCCACATATGTAAACTGGAAGGTTGGATCGAATAATCCCTGTGATGTCCTTTTGCTTTGATGTTCTAGAGTTTGACAAATGGCCACATCCTATCATTCGGGCTCACGGAAGAAAGGGAGGGAGGAAAATGTCATGTGAGCTGATTTCTAATACGTTTCAGAAAGACAGGCCCCACTGAAATCAAGGGGAGGGAGCTGGGAATATTTGGGAGGCCCCTGGGCACAGGCAAGGAAAGCAGCACCTTGTGTCGCTGGAAGACCCCGGCAGAGGTCAGGAAGACAACATTCTGTTACATAACGTGATCCTATGTTGCAGCACACCCTCTCAGGGAAGGACCCCAAAGTCCCACCCTCTGCAGACAAGGAGGGGAAAGCAAACTGCTGGAGGTGACATGATGGGTAGATTCTGAGACAAAGTCTGTGGGAGATACCGAGATAGAAATTCAGTGTCATAACTTAGTCTGTGACAGCCATCCTCTCCAATCTGAACCGCCATAGGGAGGGTGAACTCGGTACCCCTGAGCACTCACCTGTCCTAGCAAGTGTGCATAAGGTGAGTGGTATACAAGCAGACAAAGTCTTGCCACGTGAGTGCCAAGTGTAACGTGGCCTCCTTGTGCCCTTCCCCACAGTGCCCTCTTCCAGGACAAACTTGGAGAAGTGAACACTTACGCAGGTGACCTGCAGAAGAAGCTGGTACCCTTCGCCACCGAGCTGCATGAACGCCTGGCCAAGGACTCGGAGAAACTGAAGGAGGAGATTCGGAAGGAGCTGGAGGAGGTGAGGGCCCGGCTGCTGCCCCATGCCAATGAGGTGAGCCAGAAGATCGGGGAAAATGTGCGAGAGCTGCAGCAGCGCCTGGAGCCCTACACGGACCAGCTGCGCACCCAGGTCAACAGGCAGACTGAGCAGCTGCGGCGCCAGCTGACCCCCTACGCACAGCGCATGGAGAGAGTGCTGCGGGAGAACGCCGACAGCCTGCAGACCTCGCTGAGGCCCCACGCAGACCAGCTCAAGGCCAAGATCGACCAGAACGTGGAGGAACTCAAGGAGCGCCTCACGCCCTACGCCGACGAGTTCAAAGTCAAGATCGACCAGACCGTGGAGGAGCTGCGCCGCAGCCTGGCTCCCTATGCTCAGGACGCACAGGAGAAGCTCAACCACCAGCTCGAGGGCCTGGCCTTCCAGATGAAGAAGAACGCCGAGGAGCTCAAGGCCAGGATCTCGGCCAGTGCGGAGGAGCTGCGGCAGAGGCTGGCGCCCTTGGCCGAGGACATGCGTGGCAACCTGAGGGGCAACACCGAGGGGCTGCAGAAGTCGCTGGCAGAGCTGGGCGGGCACTTGGACCGGCATGTGGAGGAGTTCCGGCTCCGGGTGGAGCCCTACGGGGAGAACTTCAACAAAGCTCTGGTGCAGCAGATGGAACAGCTCAGGCAGAAGCTGGGCCCCCATGCGGGGGACGTGGAAGGCCACTTGAGCTTCCTGGAGAAGGACCTGAGGGACAAGGTCAACTCCTTCTTCAGCACCTTCAAGGAGAAAGAGAGCCAGGACAACACCCTGTCCCTCCCGGAGCCCGAGCAGCAGCAGGAGCAGCAGCAGGAGCAGGAGCAGCAGCAGGAGCAGGAGCAGCAGCAGGAGCAGCAGGAGGAGCAGCAGCAGGAGCAGCAGCAGCAGGAGCAGCAGGAGGAGCAGCAGCAGGAGCAGCAGCAGGAGCAGCAGCAGGAGCAGGTGCAGATGCTGGCCCCTTTGGAGAGCTGAGCTGCCCCTGGTGCACTGACCCCACCCTCGCAGACACCTGCCCTGCCCTGCCACCTGTCTGTCTGTCTGTCCCAAAGCAGTTCTGGTATGAACTTGAGGACACATGTCCAGTGGGAGGTGACACCACCTCTCGATATTCAATAAAGCTGCTGAGAATCTAGCCTCAACTGGTTGCCAGATGACTCCTCCTTGCAGCTGGGGAGGTGGGGAGGTAACCATGACTGGGCAGAGCTTAGCAGCGGCCTGGCAGGAGACACCCAGGATTGGGGAGATGAGACTGCAGGAGAGGTAAGGGCAGGGTGTGCTGGAGGGGAGTGTACGGGGAGTCCTCTAAGGGGAGGTAGAAAAAGATATCACAAATTATCCCAAGTCAAAATATGCAACCCACTTATATTCATTTAGCCAACAAATATACATTGAATGCCTCCGATGCACCAGTCATTGTTCTAGGCACCGGACAACCAGCAAACAGCGTTTGTGGAGCCGTGTGCCCAACTCTGCCTCACACTGAGGGGGACACCTGGAGGCAAGCAGGACAGGGTTCCTGGCCTTGGAGAGCTCACGGTACACTGAGAGAGATGGTTCCTCCTTGCATGAGATCTTCCGTGTCTTTACCTTATTTATGTGGTTTCATTGAACCCACCCCACCCCAGTTCCATTATAAAAGCAATAAGGTTTATTTCAGAAATGTCTTGACTGCTAAACCTGTGGTCTCCATCCAGAATTGAGGAATGAGGCTTGGGGACCGAGACGAGTCCGGGGAGGAGAGGAGGAGCAGGTGCTGGAGCCTGCAGGGCCCTGCTCTGCTCTGTCCAGGGGCCTCCTGCCAGGTGGCCTGCCAGTTTGGGACCGAGTTTGTAGCCACTGGGGTTAGGGGCAGAGAGTCAGGGGGCCTGAGCAGTCTCATCAGCACAGCCAGCTGTGGGCAGCTGTGGGCAGCTGCAGCCTTGGCGCGGTCTCTCACCCCACCCTTAGAGACTCAAAAACCTCCCCAAGGGAAGAGCCAGTTCAAGCCTTTGTCTCAAAGGACTCCACATCCTGGCTGTTACCTCTGGACCCCAGCCCTGCGAGTCTAGCCACCTCTCTTTCCTCTCCACAGGGGGATGCAGGCCCTTCAGGGCTTTCCTGGAAGAGGCCTGGAACATGCTAAGGAGGAGGGGGACGGGCCCTGGGAGGGTGTCCTGGGGCCTCCTCCTTCACTCTCAAGGTGCCCTCAGGGTGGTGGCCCCCTGCATGGTCTGGCCCAGGCCTATACCCCTCTGGTCCCTGGTGCTGGCCTGGTGGGAGGGATGGATGCTTGGGAATCAGACAAGCCTGGGTTTGAATCCTGGCTTTTTGACTGACTGCTGGGCGATGTGGGGCAGATAACTGAGCTTCTTTGGAAGACGTGGATAATGACAATCCTCGGTTCACAGAGGAGTTGTGCTGAAGGTTTGATGGAGCAACGGAGTCAAGCACTTAACCTCAGGCACGGAGTAAATGTGCAACAGCTGGTGCTGCGGTAAACACGACTTCCTCCTCCCGCTCACCTGCAGGCCACACTCTATTGATGAGGCCGCCAGAGCTGGCCAAGGGCAGACCCCTGGGTCTCCCCTGCCCCAGCTGCTCTGGCTCCTGCATACCAGGCCGGTAAGGCTGCTGCTGCCACTTTGATACCTACCCCCACTAGAAGCACAGGAACCTATGGGGAAACACCTTGACAAACCCACCAGGCGCCTGGAGGTTTACTGGATGGCTTTAGGAAAGGGCCAATGAGGCCAAACAGAGCAACGAGGCACCAAAAGGAAGTGAGATGCAGGGTGAGCTGGGTTTCAAGAGGGTCTGGAAGCTTCTGAGATGCTCGCAGACCTCACCTGAGGGCTACCTGGTTTAGGGCTGACTCCAGAACCCCTGGGGGCCTCAGTGTCTCCCAGAACTTGGTTCTTAATATGAACCCTGGGCCGGGCGCGGTGGCTCACGCCTGTAACCCCAGCACTTTGGGAGGCTGAGGCGGGCGGATCACGAGGTCAAGAGATTGAGGCCATCCTGGCCAACATGGTGAATCCCAGTCTCTACTAAAAATACAAAAAAATTAGCCAGGTGTGATGGCGGGCTCCTGTAATCCCAGCTACTTGGGAGGCTGAGGCAGGAAAATCGCTTGAACCCGGGAGGTTGTAGTGAACAGAGATTGCACCATTGCACCATTCCACTCCTGACTGGGTGACAGTGGTGGCTCACGCCTGTAATCCCAGCACTTTGGGAGGCCGAGGTGGGCAGATCACCTGAGGTTGGGAGTTCAAGACCATCCTGGCCAACATGGTGAATCCCAGTCTCTACTAAAAATACAAAAAAATTAGCCAGGTGTGATGGCGGGCTCCTGTAATCCCAGCTACTTGGGAGGCTGAGGCAGGAAAATCGCTTGAACCCGGGAGGTGGCAGTGAGCCGAGATTGCACCATTGCACCACTCCAGCCTGGGCAAAAAGAGCAAAACTCTGTCTCAAAAAAAAAAAAAAAAAGATATATATGTATATATATATTTATGAACCCTGGATGAGACCTGTGCACCTCTCCCACCACCCTCAGGACCATCCTGCAGGTCTCTGAGGGTCCTGCCACAGTCCTCGTCCTCCTGGATGAGGAATGCCTTCTCTTTCCTGTACCAAGATATCTCATCAGTCCCCTGGGTCACTGACCTGGCAGATGTCTCTTGGTAGTAACTTTTCTTTTGGCTGCTGCAATGAACTGAATGTTTGTGTCCCCCTAAATTCCTATGTTGCAATCCTAACCTGTAAGGTGACAGCATTAGGAGAGAAGATATGTGGGAGGTGATCAGGTCATGAGGGGGAGAGACCTCAGGAATGAGATTAGCGTCCTTATAGAAGAGGCCAGCAGAGATCCCTTGCCCCTTCCACATGCGAGGACACAGCTAGAAGGTGCCATTTATGAACCAGGAAGTGGGCCCTCACCAGACACAGGGTATGTCGGTGCCTTGCTCTTAGACTTCCCAGCCTCCAGGACTATGAGGAATAAATGTCTGTTGTTTATAATCCATCCAGTTTTTGGTGTCTCGTTATAGCAGCCCAAAAGATCTAAGACACCTTCCCAGCCTCTGAAGCCCTCCTGTTTTGTTTGGGAAGTGTCTCGCTGATGAGTTTTGGTGGGAGTCAGAGGCTACCTCCATTACAGACACGAACAACTCCAGTTGCCTGCCTTCCAGCCTCCTTTACCTCCAGCATGGGACACAGGACCTACGCTCAGCAAATCAGATGTAATTGCCCCAGACTGGTGCAAAGAAACAGGGGCAGTGGAGAATCTTTTCTGGGGTGGGCAGGAACAGTGTGGCAGCAACAGGCAGCTTGCGGCCAGGCTAGAGCCTCAGGCCAGGGACTAGGCGTGGCAGTGGCTGCTGGGCAAACTGGGCTGTCCCCATCCTGGCTCAGTGGTGACAGCACAGCCGTCCCCATCACTCTAGTTCTGTGGCATGAGCGTGGCCATGTTTCTCCCTCAGCTCCCCTTATTCTTGTTTATTTTCCAAACCAAGTACTCCAGCTTTCCTAGACATTTCCTCGAAATTCCTGGAAATATGTCAATAATTCATCTTCTGATTATATCTTCCAGAGGAGATTCCTGTGGCTAGCAATTAAGAACCTTGATTGAGGCCAGGCACAATGGATCACACCTGTAATCCCAGTTACTCAGGAGGCTGAGGCAGGAAAATCGCTTGAACCCAGGAAGTGGAGGTTGCATTCAGCCGAGATTGCACCATTGCACTCTAGCCCGGGTGAAAGAGCAAGACTCAGTCTCAAAAACAAACAAACAAACAAAATTTAAAAACCACTTTGATCCACACACCCCTTCCCTCTTGGGGATGTTTCTCTTGCTTTGGGCCTTGGAAGACACACCCTCATCTCTGCCCTGTTCCAGTTGGTCAATTGGTTTGTCTGAGGTACCCTTATTAGTCCTCATTAGGGTTGGTCCCATCTTCCTAGGAAAGCAGGCTTCCTCCTGTTCTGAGTTAGCAAGTGGACTTAGTCCCCTGTGGCCAGTCAGTCCCCTCTCCTCTCCAGTGGCTGAGCCGACTGCGGACCTGGGCAACAGGCTCTACCTACCCGCCTCAGAGATTCTCTAACAGCTGGTCTCAGATCTCCCATGAGGGCCTGAGTTCAAGCAAAACACTCTGGTTTGGTTTGGGGAATCTGTTTATTTATGGGAAGATGTCCAAGATATTTTATGGAAAAAAAAAAAAAACAAAGTTTCAACTATTATGTACTTATAACCCCGTCAAGGAACGTGCAAATTTGTATGTGAACGTGTAAGGAAGTGAAAATCCTGTTAGTTCAACAGTTAGACCCAGAATACCTCTGAGAGAGGAAATGTCACTGACGGCGCACGCCAGCTGTTGACGAGGACACCCAGAGGAACTGGCCGGAAAGAGACCACAAGACAGAGAGATGGAGTCAATTGTTGCGTGCATTCCCTGCACTGGCATTTGAGGTGGTAATGAAGAGTAGGAAAGGAGGGGAGGTCACAGAAGGGAAAACAGGGAATATATGAGGAGGTGAAAGCCCCCTGCAAATCATGGCCAATAAGAAATGCCTAGTGGCAACGGTTGTGGAGCTTTTCAACACAAGGATGGCAATGAAGCTGACTGCAATGCTGGTAGTGTGAGATGCTTTTAAAAACCGCCTCATATTACCATATTGACTCGTAATTCTCATGATCAACCATGGCATCAAAGACACAATAGATGAGGAAGAGGCACTTCAGAGTGGTGAGGTACATTACCTAGCAAGTGGTGGAATGGGATTTTTTTTAACCAGCACTTTGGAAGGCCGAGGTGGGTGGATCACTTGAGGTCAGGAGTTCAAGACCAGCCTGGCCAACATGGTGAAACCCCCCCCTCTATTAAAAATACAAAAGTTGGCTGGGCTTGGTGGTGTGTGCCTGTAATCTCAGCTGCTCAGGAGGCTGAGGCAGGAGAATCGCTTGAACTCGGGAGGCGGAGATTTCAGTGAGCCGA